CTTCAGGCCACCTTGAAATATGCCTTCGAGTCTGTTACTTACCCTCATTTTCAGCTCGTTCTGGATAGAAAAAAAGTTTAACTGCACGTTGAAAAAGTAAAATATGTTCGTTCATTTGATAAAACGTACCTAGCGAATCCGAATTTTCTATCTACAGCCACCATAACTAAATACAGAAGCCATTTAGATAGTGAACCCGACATCTGTCTTCTCCAGCTATCAAAATTTAAACCCAACATATCCAAATAGTACAGGCAAAAACAATTAATCTCATCCCATTAATTCATTAATCATTAATGTTCAAATTATTACTTTTGATATTGGATCGAGTTTTACAAACCTACTCATTCCATTTTTACATACCTCTTTTTGTTTTCCACATTTTGTAAATAAAGTTAAGTATGTCAATCTAACGTTTGTTTTCATAGTCACATCCCTTTCCATCACCTAATTAGGAATCGACTGGCTAAATGCGAGGGGTCCTCATTTTGTTCTGTGAAAGGGGTCCGATAGCTATAAAGTGTGGTAAGCCCTGGTTTAGAGGACCATTCCTGTTCCTCCAATTAAGAACCCCCCATCATTCAGCCCTTAACATCAGTGCACTGCGATCCCCCACCGGTGTTGTGCGCATTGAAATCGCTCAACATCATAATCTGTTGGGGGAGTCGCTCGATCAGGGCAATCCTCATTGCTGTACAACAGTGCGTCTGGTGGAAGGTAAACAGAGCACAGTGTGATGCACTGTGGATCATCTGGTGTGATTATAGGAGTGGATTCTATTGGATAAGGATTGGGCAACTCGACTGGGGTGAGAGAAGTGTTTAGTATGGAAAGTGGAAAATGTTTTGGGAATTATTTTTTGCACTAAAGGGATTTTGAGATCGTTGTGAAGGGTGTTGTTGGAGACGTAGTAAGGATCTGACTATGATTCTGAGGACTTCGGTTTAGAAGGGTTGTATTCCTTGGATGTTGGAAGGTTTGGCAGTGCCCCACAGTTCTAGTTCGTACGTCGAGATAAGTTTTAGTATTGTCATGTAGATTGCGAGTTTGTTTTTAGTTGAAACGTTAGATTTGCATGACAGTAGCCTGCAAAGTAGCCCGAAACGTTGGTTTAGTGCCTTTCCTTTTAATCGTGTGTGTTGGTTCCAGGTTTGTCTTGAGTCTAGATGGACTTAAGGATCGGCCCAAGTACACTGCCCTGAGGTATTCTCCCTCCCAGAGAACAATGGTCGGAGTAGCAGATCCTCGACAGAATCTGCTCCTAAATAAGATTTTTTAAATATTTTATTTACAGTGTAGTACATCTACTCTCAATTAGGTACCAAGTTTATATAAAATAATTAAAAAAAGAAGCCTGGAGAAACGACCCACTGGCAGCACACCCACTAAGTGTTCTATATTTAATCAAGGTTAGTGTCAGGAAAGTAGATCTCTCGGCCATCGTCTTTTTAATCGGCAAAGACGGTTGGAGGGAATTTGTCGGGATGACAGTTTTGTATTTGAGGATTTATGGTGGTTCGGAGGTTTAAAAGTGGCGAGAACGATAGTGGATTACATCTTGGGCAAAAGGAATATTTACGCCTGTATGAGTAGTTTCGTGGGACACATAAAAGGGCCGATTGGGCTCATTGGATGCGGAAGATATTTGAATTTTTGGCTGAACCCCACACTTCCAGTCCGTACGCCCGTATCGTCTTCACAATGGTGTTATAGTAGTTTTTCTCAGAGGTAAGTAAGAGCGTTTATCAAGAAGTCGTGAAAATGCTCTGTATCGTTTCATTACTTATTGTCGTTTCAGTCGTGTGTGAAGATTCAAAGTCAGACGTTTGTCAATATATAATCCCAATATATAGTTGGGAGGGGTACGTGGTTGAAGTAGACTAGAGTGGGGATCTTTCAGCGGAGAGTGAAAGTTGTCTGAGTGGGTTTTTCTGGATTAAATTTTATTTTTTTATTTTTTGACACCATCACTCCAGTAGTGTGAGGTGTTTCTGAAGGTTTCGAGTGGAAATGACTGGATCAGAGTTAAGTAACTACTTACTAAAGTAATGGATCGCTGAATCATCTGCAAAGGTCAGGGTGGTGGTTCGAGGATAAGATAGGAGGTCAGCTGTCTACACCTGGAAGAGTAGGGGGCCCAGAACACTGCCCGTTCGTACACCAGCATGGAGAGGTAGCAGGATAAAAAGTATTATGTAGGATGAAGGAGCTCGGGTGCCAAACTCGATCAAAGGCCTGGGCCACATCAAGGAAGGCCCCCGAACAATCTGTTCCAATTCAAGAGCGGCAGTAATGACATCTACAACGCGGCGGCACTGCTTGACCGGTGAATGACGGTTGCGAAATACAAACTGATGGTCTGTGCTAACTTTTTTAGAATCAAGGACGAGAGGATACATTTTAAAATAAGCCATTTTAGGACTGTCCCTGGAATTTGGTGGCCATCCACCACGCCTGTGTACGAAGATCGGACGGAGGAAGCGTAAAGCATGCGAAGATACGAAGACTACGTAAGGGGTGGTGGATGGGGAGCGGTGATGTGCCACTGTGAAAATGGACGTCTCAAATTCCTGAAATCTCTCCTTTTTATAAATCCTGACGCCCATTATTTATATGCCCATTTTATATTCTCTAAACCAGCCCGACACTAATACAAACTAAGTGTGAAAGTTTAATCGAACTCGGTTCTGTTAGTTTTCGTTTTTATCATTAACACACATACGAACATTCATTTTTATGTATTTTTTGTTATTTTACCACTGCCACTTCACTAAAGGACTTTTAAAACAAATAATACTAAGTTTAATTTTTCTATTTTGCTTCAACAGGCCAGAACTGTGTTACTAATAATCAAGTGGATAAAAAGATGATTGAAAGCGAGCTGAGATTCCAGGATGCGTCATTCACGATCTATGAATAAAAAAATTGGAATTTTGAATAACTGGTTTTATACACAGTTGATGAAGAATAGCTTTCCACTTCGCTGTACGGATTTTTATTGGGACGACTTTTGGATTATTAATCCACAGAGATGGAATCTCTGAATTTCACTTGTTTCAAGACGAAGCCTTGACATTAATTCATCCGGTTATAACTTCCTAGTGATGAACATTGAGATAATAACGGCACATATTGCCAGAATTATAAATGTCTGATTATGAGATATCAATCAGCTAATCGACTGCTATTAGCAATCGAATCATCAGTGGCACTGTAATTATCAGACGTATCTGTGCTTATAAAAATTACTTTTTATTAAGGAAAACCAATTTTGGCCATCTCAATAAAAAAAAATTGTCTTGTGATTTGAAAAATAAACTGAACTTACAATCACAATTGTATTTATTTTTAGTATCGTAAGATACTCTTACAAATATATTAAATCTTGTAGCCATGCACATTTAGAATTTCTCAAACCAATTTCAATTTCTTTGAAAAAGTTGGAAAATTGATTGCCACATCCCAAAGATTGTTGGTCTTTTGAATAATTAACCCGTGTAAAAGTAAGTACAGTGCATTGAGTTCAGGTCGACTAAAAAATAAGTTCTATTTTAATTGAGAACATAGAAAGTACATATATATACGATATATATATATGATTACAACAAGTTTTTTTTCACACGGTCACAGCATTAACACTAATGCCAGCGCCACACCCGGAGGACACATTCTATGAGAAACCAAAATGCTGGCACTCAGTGTGTGGGATTAAAGGGCAAGGAGGTCTCAAGGTCAACGGCGATTGAGACGTAGCGGGTTCTCGGGATGGGAATGTGTAAGGATGGCTCGAGCAGTATGGTTAGGATGGATCGAGAGATTCTTGTCTTGGTGTGAAACGTCTGGAATGGAGAACGGATCAATTCGTTGGCAGACGGAATGTTAAACCCATTGTGGACAGTGAGGTTAGTGACATAGTAAGGAGCTTTGACGATTTGTTTGGGGACTTTTGATTGGAAGGATTGGATGCGCTGGATGGCTTCGCAGAACCTCATAGTTCCACACCATATGTCCAAAGTGGTCGTAGTAAAGTGTTGTGTAAGGTTAGTTTAGTGTTGACGGTCAAGATAGATTTTGGACCGAGAAGTCTTATGTCAAGTTGTTGTCTATTAAGCCTTGTGTGGGGATTCCATGTCAGTCTGCTGCCTAATGACTAGAATGAAAATCGGTATTTCTTTGTCGTTGATGTACTTTGGAGGGAGAGAACGTACACATTACATTTTTCTTCATTCGATGTTGTCCTCCATTCTTTCACCAATGTTCTATAAGATCAAGTTGTTCTTGGATGTTGGAGGTCGCTTTGATAGGATTCGAGTTAGAGGACAAAAATGTATTGCTATCATCCACGGAGGTGGTAATGATTAGGGTGTGAGGTAGATCAGCAGTGTGATATTAAGGATGGGGCCAAGAATGCTCCCTTGTGGGTCGCAGTTTGACTCTGTCTGACTTCCGAGAACTCGTTCCCGCACCTCACTCTCCAACAGCGGTCTGTTATGTAGCAGGATAAGGTAATAAAGAGTGGTTAGGAAGCGTTTAAGTTTATAAAGCATTCGCGTGGGCCAGGACCTTTCCAAAGCCTATACTACATCTAGGAACGTACCAAGCAATACTCTTTATACTCTAGAACACAGGAGATTGTGACAACTCTGAATCCTTGTTGGATCGTTAAAATTAAAATAAAACTACAAGTATTTAAAAAAGTAAGTGTTATTTCCTATACAGAATTTTAAAAATTGATTCTTTCGCTTAAAAGGACAGATTTGGCCAGTTCAATTGTTTTTAAGAATCAATTATATTCTTCAAGCTCTTTCATAATTATTAATGATAATTAATAGAGGAGTTAGGTTAATTACCAAAACCTAAGACGCACTTACAACGAACGAAAATTGGCTACTAAAAACATCCAATCAATTGAGTGGTTTTTTTTTTTCACTGTTGATGAAACACATTTATAAAACCAGAAATAAAAGAGGAAAATGGGTAATAGATAAATCATAACAAGAAACATGTAAAAAATGTATTTGATATAGAATATCTTAAATAAATACGTCATATTTAATGGCAAACATGAATGAACTAAACATACATCTCTGATTTCATGATTAAGGATAACAATACACTTTTATCGCGAATAGTAAATGCAAAATGTCACTTTTGCGACACTGCACTATGTACATGTTTTCCCCTTATAAATTACGAGTTTTATTATTTACAAAACTAGTTTTACAACTGGTCGCCCAAGATAGCCACGTCTATGACTATTTTTATTAAATTAATAAATAAACCACGACATTTCACATTCTCCCTGCAAAGGAAATAAAAATACAAACAAACAAAACATAGACAATAAATTGAAAAAATTACCATTTTGCAAAAGAAAAAAACGCTCAACTATCGTATATCTAACAGATTGTTCATGACTTTTCATTTTGGGTTTTACAATTGTGCATACTTTCCGAACCATGAGGACTCCAGCACAAATTCGCCATCAGGGGAAAATGGGATCGGTTCGAAAGGTACACATTACAAATAATTAAAAAAAAAAAAAAAATACAATTTATAAAAGGACTTAGCCCGCCTCGTCATTTGCAACATGGATATTAAACAGAATGGATTACCGATAAACGAATTAATTACGGGTAACGACAAAAACTGATAAATTAGCTTAAAAATATTTCTTAGTAATTATATGCATGTTGCACTAAATGCATCTAGATTTAATTAAGAAATAAATAGATCTACCAAGCAATGCTTATTAAATATGTCATGGAAGCCCTAAAATCTTTTAGGCCGTCGTTACGGTTATGAATTTTCCGAATTTCTTTCTTTGTTGTCCTTTCACGATTTAACACTGTAATTGTGTTTATGGTTTTTGTTACCAAATAAAAAATTAAATAAATCTTCACAAATATATGGGCACTGGAAAAGTTGGGTCGAGAATTGGTGGAGTAGAGAAAGTTATTTAAAATTTCTATGGTTTTTAGTTTAACTATTTACGTTAATAACGACCGAGGTGTAATAGCCTGTAGAACACAAATCCTAGATCGCCAAAATTGAAAACACGTTTGTATTTTAATTATTGCGTAAATAATCTCCCATTATTGATTGTGCCACATAGAATGGGTTCGATACAGACAGAAAATTCTTACGAGTAAAAATTAAAATAAAACATTTTAAAAGGAATAAGCGTTTGATACATGTATCTTTATTGAAAGGCACAGCCGATAAAAGTGTTTTGAACTATTAATTTTTTTCGTTCAAGAAAGAAAATAGGACAACAAAAAGAGCGTAAAATTGGTGCCGGTTGGGTAAGTTTACGAGGCTAGCTATATTATCACGACGCCCGCTATTGTATCAAAACAATGACTGCCTTGCTAAAAATCTGATCAATTGATACGGTGTTATTCTACAGTCATAAGATCACTCTCATCTTTAACGCCGGTGTCTTTTCCGCGTTTTGTTTTCACGCAGCGCCCTTTGTAACAGATTTCGGTCTCTAATGAAATTTCAGTGGTCGTTGACGTTCCTAGCACTTTCGGAGTGACAGTCTGCGGGTAAAAAGTTGTAGAAGGAGCCTCACTATTAAACAGGGTTCCATCTTCTATTTTGGACGTCGTGTATGTTTGGTCGAATTCCGTAGTTGTCGGGATTGTCGTCGTGTCGTAAGCTTCTGTCGTTGCTTGAGTGGTTTCATCCACCACGTCCTGTTTTTCTTTTCCTTCTTCATTGCCACCCTTCATGTAATCCCTTATCATGGTCGTAAGAGTGTTTTGATACTGTTCCATGACAGACGGGGCTTCCGTCGTAGTGTCGGTCATTGAAGAATCGACCTCTTTGCTCTGGTTGGCCAATTTATCTACAGTTTCTTTCACTTGATCCATTTTTTTCTCGTTTGCCTTAATTGGATTAACAGGGAGAGAATTGCCGGAGAGAGATCCAAATCGCTGTGATTCTGCAGTCTCTAAAAAGTCCTTCGGCTTCTTAACACGAACCCTTACCCATGTCCCGCGCCTCTTCCCGGGCTGAAACATAAACAGAAAACAGACAACGTCAATATAAAGGTCTTGAAATTATTCTGGTAAAATTACGAAATGGTTTCTCCTCTCAGATAAAGTATTGTTTCGGGGTTTTAAACATTGCCGTGGCTTGACCAAGCAAAACTATTGCTACCATAAAATTCGAATAGTTCGGTCGCTCCGATCATTCTGATCTGGCTAAACTCGCTGTTCTCTCTCAGCTCTCTGTCAGCGGGTTTCGCCATATCAGTGCTTGCTACCACCGAAAAATTTACATCAACAAATGGACAAAACTGACTCAACAACCTTCTGAATAATTTTAGGTTGGACAAGGCTAGAAACTCTTACAGTCGTGAGATCGTTGAGGTCTGAGGGGTGATGAACCTGTTTACCGGCCTGCCTATCTACCCTGTTTTGATCTGTCAGGCGCGTTTCGTTAGTCTGCGAAGATCCCGAAATGAGTCTGATAGATCAAAATAGCAAAGATAAGCCAGACCAGAAGGATCGGAAAAATGATCAAATTCGTACTGAGAAATTTCAAATATTTTTCAGCTTCAAGGACTTGGGGCAATAAAGAAAATTTTCAATAGCATATGGAATCACAAAACCAACAGTCCTAGTATTACATATCGGGTTAGCCCTTGAAACATAACAAACAACTGAAAACTAAAACAAACATAATCTACAATAGAAATGTATAACTAATTCTACTGGACAATTTAAGAACACAGTTGAGTCCTCCGTGTACCACGCAAGAAAAGTGGGCAAGCTGAAGAATAACAAAAACCGAACCTGGCGACGGCCAACAAGCTTACATTTCTGTCAGACCTGCTCACTTTTCCTTTCTCCACAAATCTGAATAGAAATACAAGGCCTGGATAATGGATAATTGGAGATATCACAGCCGAAACCCGTGTGTAAAAAAAAGCGAGACCGGGAGAGCCAGAAATATTGGAATGTTGAAATTGTTACGTCCATTAAGAAATCGGAGTAAAAAATTTATACTTTTAAAACAATGACCGGTAATCCGTAACCTGTTACTTTTTAACAATTTCTTAACAACCCTTTAAATTTTTCAGGAAGAAATCAATCGCAGAATTAATTCAATAACAATAACAAGACTGTGTTTTCAAACTTTTCCCCTTTCGAGTTCGAGCTGACCTAGAATTAGTGAACAGAACGAATTATACCCTGCAAAAAGCCGTTGTACAGAAGAGATTGCCCCTCGGTATAAAGATTGCCAGGTATTGGCAAAAATGGAGCATTGTAGATTGACACACTCGCACATTTACAGAATGTGGTAGAGAAAAGGTCTGTGATGAAATATTAACCGGTGGGGGTCCTGGATCTCCTTTCTAAGTGGGCATACAGTACCATTTTTCGCAGTAGGCCAAGTGTAACAACATTAAATAATTTGAGTGATCTAAAAATTAATTTCTTAAATTAGGTAATTAAATATTTACCTTTCTAGTAGTGCTGAGGACACTTTCCGATGTGGTTTCCTGTGATGATGCTTCTACGGTCGGTGATCCCACGCTGGCCGGTTTTTCCTGTGATTCCGCAGGATCGTCTTTGGCTTTGGCCGGCTCGTCAGCCGTATCTTTCTCTGGATATTGGCTTTCTTTCCCGACGTTGACATTCGGTTTCAATCCTGTGTATGTTACTTGCTGATCGTTTGAAGGGAAGGGCGATTGGTCCAAAGTAATGGGTTTTTCAGGATCTTGAAATCCAGAATAGTCGTCGTATTCGTTGAAAACCGGTTGGTTGTTGTTTGACTTTCCATTCCCCTTTTTCGACTGATCGGAAAGCGACGGGACATCGTCGGGTTCGTACACGTAACTTTTACTTTGCTGAATTGTAACAGCTTGATTCCAAAAATCTTCAGCTTCTTTTTGTTTTGAGGATTTTGAGTTGTATTTGTTCTCCTGTGCTGAATTTTTGTCTGGGATTAATTTGGGATTAGAGTCAGGCAAATATTTGTCCTCCGAGTAAGTCTCTTTAGCAGGCTCTTTGTAGACGGCGATCTTCTGCGTTGTAGTGAAATGCTTATAATTTTTGTCTAATGGCAAACCATCCGAATACGGTTGCGGGGTAGGGTTCGTATCTGGCACTTCCACTCTCAGACCTACATGGGGTGATTCATCGTCGGATTGATAAACCCCCTTACCCTCGGCTTGGTTGTAAACGGCCGGAGGGTTCGTTTGCGATTCTCTGTGCCTCGCCAGCGGTCTCCGAGTCGTTCTGTAGGTTTTTTCAGGCTCTGGTTCAAAATCTTGTTCCTGATAATATACCGACGGGGGTGATGTCCCTCTGTGTTTTCCCGTGGTTTTCGCTTGGTTGGTGACCCTTTCTTGTTGTTGTTCGACCCTTGACACGTAAGGCTCCCTATGTCTTTGTAGGGTTTTTTGACTGGTTTCGTAATTTTGGTAATTGTCGTATTGTTCCGTTTGGGCTTCGTAACTGAACTGAGGCTCTTTCGACTTAAAGGTGACTTTTCTGACGGGTTCCGGTGATGTATCCTGATTGTAAGGTACGTACTCTAATCCCTCGTCGTACGCCGGAGGTTGAGTAGGCCTAATTTTCCTCACTGGCTGAAGATACGTATCCTCGTCTCGTTCGACGTACGACACTTCTTGCGATTTTGGCCGTGCGGTGAATCTTTCGTTTCCTGAAACGTTAGGAGTAGTTTGATATTGTTCAAATTTGTTTTCGTCCCTCGTTACAACCGGTGACCTGGAAAAGGAGTCGTATTGGCTTCCCTTCACAGAAACGGGATTATAGCTGGCGTCTTCATCTCTGTAATTGAAATTTGGTAGCTGCGGTACTGTCCACGGTTCTGTTTCGGCCAGTACAGACGCTTCTGTGGTGGTCGTCGTAGTAGGAGTCGTCGGACGCCTGATTCTACCTCTGCTCGCGTGCAATTTGGTTTGTGGTGGGTTGGAAGGTCGCCTGGTTCTGATTAAGTACTTAACGCCCGATGGAGCGGAAGTTGTTGTCGAAGGAGCTGGGGTCGTTGTCGGCCTCAAAGGCCTTCGTTGCACAGTCCTGTGGTTGCTCAACTTTCTATGTGTTGTTCTTGTAGTTGCCTCAGTAGGCGGAGAAGTCGTATATGGTGTATCGTCATTGTTAAAAACACCTAATCTGAAACTGTTAGGGCTAAAATCCCCGTTAACCCTTTTCTCTTCCTTGTAACTCTGCTCCCGACTTTCTCCAAAGTTAGAAGGATAATTCGGAGGTTCGGTTGTAGTTTTTTGTCTGCTATACAACGGTCTGCCGCGGACTCTCCCTCGACTCCTCAAATGAGGGCGTTCTGAAGGTTGAGCCCGAGTGGTAGTTTCGACGTAATTTTCGGAAGTAGTTTTGGTTGAATATTCATCAGAGGATGTTTGTTCATGCGTCGGTCGGAATGTCTTCTGTTTTACCACAGGATTGCTTACTTCTTCATTACCGTACAGGTTTTCCGATTTGTAGACAGGTTTCATAGGAGGGTCGGTTACAACTGATGTAGTATGTTCAAGAAGGTTGTTGCGGGACGAAGAAGAAGGATATTCTTTGTAATCGGGTTGGGTATTCTCGGTAGCACGCTGTGTCGTATATTGGACGGGCTTGTAGTTCACATCGTACGAAGGCACTTCTTGTGGTTTTGCTACCTCATCTACATTCAAAGTAGGGTTTTCGTACGATTGTGGAAAGTACGTGTCCATAGTTTTAGTTCGTGCCTCATCTTCGCGATATTCTGGTGGGAGCTGACCGATCCCCACGGAGGGACCGCGGAAAACGCTGTATGGGAGTTGGTCAGCATTTTCTTTGTATTTCTGTCGCTGCAAAGTGGCTTCTGTCGAATAACCGCTGTTAGTCCGCAGGGATTTATCATTTTCGCCTTGTGCTACGGCAAACTGGCTGTTTTGATCATGATTAACCGGTCTGGGTGAAAATTGAGATTCAAAGGATGAATAAACCGATTGTTGATTTTCTGGTTGGGGTTGTGATCTGTAAGTTGCAGGTGGACTTTGAGGTTCCACGGGGTCTCGAGTTGACGGCGTTTTTTCTTTTTCATAAACGTTCGCATTTTCCTGTGGATTGTAGTAATCGGTAGTGTATTGGGGCACGAACGCCTGCGTGCGGAAATTTCTGTCTAATTCCTTTGTTCTAGCTGGTTCGGACACAAGTCTTTTATCTTCGGGTTCCTTCTGAGATTGTTGATACAAAAAGCCAGTCGTGGAATCATCAACATTTGAGTGAGTGCCGGTAGACTGAACCGCACTTTCGTGATAACGATCCTCGAAGTTCCTTTGATTATTTTGTGTGGTGTGTTGATCTTGGTGTACTTGATCATCCCTCACAAGGCTTTGTCTAACGTTCGTATATGGTTCTTCTGTGGTCGTGGTGGTGGTCGTCACTCTCGACTGAGTCCTACTATTATAGGGCCTCCTTTGTCTTTGGCCGTAGGGCCGTCTTGTCGCGGAAGAAGTAGGAGCGGAAAATTGAGCTTTTTGAGAACCGCGATAGTTATGCCCTCTCGTGTTTTGCGTTCTCCTAGGAGTCGTTGTAGTCTGAACCTCTTCAGTTACGGCTTCTGTCACCACTTCCTGCGTCGACGTCGTTGCTAATGTCGTCGGCCCGTATTGTTCTTCTTGCAGGGAATTTATCAACGAAGGTAGTTGTGGGCTAATAGAGGAGATATCCGCGGGAATGGTGTAAGGATCCCTGTAAGAAGAAGAAACCGAATAAGAGGGTGTCGTTGCGTATTTCTCGGTCACCGCTCTGGCAGTGTAGTTGGACAAAACGACCGAGCCGATATGTGGAGGAGGGAAGGGGATTTTCGAATATCCAGGGGGCGGTTGAAAATTAAGTGGCGCAACAAAGAAGGGAAGTTGCAAAACTTTTCTTTCGACTCGATTACCATCCAGGGAAGACAGGTACGGAAGTTCGAATTTTACGTATCCATGAGGCGGTTTCAAGTTAGACGGTCCAACGAAGACTTGTGGAGAATCCGGGCCAATAGTATCTAGGACAGGTATCGTTTTAGCATCTTTCAGCAAACTCAAAACGTCTCCAACTTTACTGTTAGGGGACGTTTCCATATAAACGGATAAAGGTGGCTGATTCGGCGGTGGCAACTTGGATGGCCTAACTTCATCCCTGTATACTTCCGCAGGACGTCGAGTGTTATCTTCAGGTAATAAGAAACTATCTGGCATTTTAGTAAAGCGACTTTTTAAATTGTATTCAAGTCGAGGTCTCTCTGTATACAGTTCTTTTTCATTATGATATTGTCTAAAATTTGTTTGATCGTATTGCGCTTCCTCAGTGGGATATCTTGTATTGTAATTCTGTGGTTGCGTTTGGACGTATTTGGCCTGTTCGTCTTGTTTCAATTCAGACGACGATACTTGTTGAGAGGTATCCTTTGTGGAATCGTATTCTTCTTGAGCTCTTTGAGGCTGCTCCAAGGGTGTGGATTTGGGAACGGCGACGAAATCGACGTTCGTAAGATGCCGTGCTGGTATTTGTTCCTTCAGTGGTTGGATGGGATGTCTAAATTTTTGTGTTTCTTTTTGATTGTGATGGCTCTGTGGTAACGACTGAAAAGTCGGCTCTCTGGAAAGAGCACCCTGCGCGTCCTGACTAGAGACACCATTTGATACACTCGATGCTTTACCCCTTTGTTTCAGAGTTTCGACGGGAACATAGAGAATCTGAACTTCTTCCTTCTCACCGCCTCGCATCCCTTTCATATAAGGCACCGTCTCGCCGACCGGTCTCGCTACAGGTTGTTGATGTTGTTGATGATTGGGTCTAGAATCCGCGAAAGAATTTTGTTGCGAAGCAAATCCGGGATTTTGTAAATTCCTAACAGGCAACTTTTCTTCGGGCACGGCGTGCTGTCGAACGGCGTCTTTTCTCACAGGAGGTGGTGGAGGTGGCTGACCGAAATGGTTTTGCGGCACGACGAAATGCGGTCGTAATAGCCCCGCATTGTGAGGGAATTGGTTGAAAGTATTTTCAAACTGTTGATTTAAAAGTTGTGGCGGTAATTGCTGAGCGAGTAAATGCGGGGGGATCTGAGGAGGCAAAAACTGCTGTGACAGCACCTGAGGTTGGTTGAACTTCTCTTGCTGTCGAGGAGCGTTATCCGGCCGAAACTGAGGTGGCTGGTGAAAAGTATTGGCAAAATTATTTCCGTTATCTTCTTGATACAATCCTTGTACGAGGTGGTTGCGTTGCGAAGGGGCTCCCAGGGATCGAGCCGACGCTTGTCCCAATTGCTCCGCCGACAACGGCACCCAATCACCGCTGACACGTTCAGAAGCTGGTTTGCTCCATTTCAACTGAGCCTCTTCAGCGCTACTCAAAGTCAGCACGAAGAGAATACTGGCAGTTCTTGCTGCCCACATGACGGGAAACTGAAACAAATAAAATTGCCTTATCTCAAGCGTCTCGTTTACTTACAAAAGAATACTTAAAACAATAATTGTGAGATGACTTGTTGAGGTCTGTGTAGTGAGAAACCTGAATTTTGGTTCCCATCATCTTGGCCTGCTTATCCTTGCTATTAAAGTGGTTCATCTGTGTACTATTTTGCCAGTCCTATCCTATAAGACAAGGCGAAATGCTTACACCTGTCTGTCACAACAAAACATCAAGGAATGCAGTCCAGAATGATCTTAAACAGCCAAACTACAAGTACAATTGTATCAATCTACCATCAACATAATTTCTTGTTCAAGAAGTTTAATTTTTTTACACCATTAATCGCATTCCTACTCTTACGTCATACACCTTAATGTTTTGAAACCATTCGAATAGACATGTGCTACTTTAAATTTTACCTTTTTACGGAATAAGAAATAAAAACTAAAGGTTGTCATAAACTTTGTTGTAGTTGTGCAATTTCTACGATATCTTGATGAAATTACAAAAGAAAGGATATATTTGTTGGCCTCTAGATTTAATTGTTTTAAAAAGGGTTTTTAGGCTCGGAGATTGTTTCATTTTGATAACGTGTCTAGAGGTGGTTAAGCAGGGACTCATTGACCGAGGGCCAATATATTAAGTAAGAGGGCAGACATAATAATCGACCGTAGTTGTAAGAAAACCAGTTATACATGTTCCCTCCTTGCTTAATAAAGAACAAGGTCGTTTGAGTTTCAGTTTTACTCAAGAAGTATTTACCTTTCTTTTTTATACTAGAATGCTCCGGTTTTAGTGTTCTGTTAGATCATAATTATATCTACAGTAAGTGCGTGTAACAACGTCTTTTCAAACTCAACATGTCAACTCTCCATGGCCGAATGTATAATTAAATGAAATTTTAGGAAAAGTCCAAGAAAAGGAGAAAGGAGAAAGAAGTGAAACCAAATAGATGTCGTTTTATCGAAGGAAGGAAGCCGAACCCCTTTCCGGACCGATTTGGCCGATTTGTAACTCGCGAGTGCACTGAATCTTTCAAGTTTTTTAAACTTAATCTCGTTTTTATAACTTGATCAACCTCACTTGAAAGTGTGTATGAGCGTTTATAAACCAGATCTGCGGTTGCGTGGCGCAATATTGCAAACTGAACACTCTTGCTTTGACAATGCTGAATGTCAGACTGAAAAATTTGGATTGGGTAAGTATTTTCTGTCGAATTGGCATCAATTTAAAAACAATGACACATTAAAACTCCAAAAGAAACATGATGATTTATGTCAAAACTTCTCCGATTAAGAGTTGAAGATGGAAAAAAATCGGATTATTGATGTAGGTGAGTCGAATCATTCATTGAAACTTGACAAAAAACTCCATCGGTCTCACTGTCAATTGAATATGTCCGTGTGCATTTGCAACATTGTTATTTCGACATTGATGTACGTCAGGACGCAGGGCGTTGAATTTTTCTTATCCGAATGAAAAGCTTTTGTAATCTTAACGCCTTCGAAACTAACATCAAATTAAGACATCTAAAAGCGAAACAGAGCAGGATGATTTAAGCAGAAAATTGTCCTTAGTTCAAGGTTTGTTATTTGAGCAACTGACATCAAATTAAGGTCATAAAAAGCGAAAGCAGCAGGATGATTTAAGCCGAAACTTGTCAGTAGTAAATTAAAGTAAAATGACTATAAAAAATATGTGGTAGTGTAAATCGGAACCCATCCAGTTAAAAACAGAAGCTGAGAGGAAAAAGCCTTATTTTAATTGGTATCGTTGCATTGGTATCCATAAAAACGTGACAAACAGACTCGCTTGTCATGAATGATTAATTTTTTTTTACTGACGACCTTATCATATTCGCGTTCGGTAACATGGTAGGTCATGACTGAACCGAAGAAGACGTGTTCTGTTTCACTGGATTTCAAGGGCCTGCCTCGCCGAAGCACGTTTCGCCTTAAACCGTCTGCAGAGCACGTTGGCAAACCGGTCTTCCTCCGCTCCTTACACTTTCTACACAATTCTGGACCAGTGGGCGAGGATTAGAGACAACGCGCCTACTTTGAACTTTACTACACCTCTCATTGTTTACAAATTCAACTATTGTTCTCGACAAAACCAATCCACGCTTTGAGTAGATTGTCTCCGGTTCGAACACCAAGTGTGAATGGACGAACATGCATTAGATACATTTTAAAAAATCGATTTTCTCTTGAATACGCGTGACATTGTGTATTCGTAAAACCAGCCTCGAAGTATATAATTTAAACTACAAGAAAATAAACTAAAAACTGACAACGTAGAGAAAAATGTCGTCTAAAGGTTGAATAAATTGCATAGTCATGAATTAATTGTATATAATGGCAGGTTAATCGTCGGATAATAACGAAGCAAGTTCGATGCAATAAAACGATACATTGTTAAAGCGTAAAAAATTTGACATTCCTGTACATATTTTTTACTTTATTTGTCAATTCGCCCCAGCATTATGTAAATTAAATTGCCATCCTTACCTCGACTAATAACCTTTTAATACAATTCAGAACCCCCAGCGCTATGATTTGAATATTTTCAGAATATAATCTTGCTAATATTTTGAGCAGGAGCAAGGAGGAAAGTTCATGTAGGTTCATTTCTCAAAAGGCCATTGTATTAAAGGTAAATTACACACATAATCTTCATCCCTTAGCGTAGTCATGCTTGCCATCACCTAAATATTTACCCAAACCAAATTTTTGCATAATTTAATCAATTACGCATGATATTGTTATTCTATCCTCCATTAAAGATTCCGTCCTCTCAGATCGCTCCTTTCAGGTTCACCTAATCAAGATATAACTTGGCTGAAAAAGGAGCGGATGAAAATTAATGTAGACAATAGGCAACATATAACCTTTACCCTCCGACTTGGAATAGTGCCACCACTATACCCACATCACATATCCTTTCCTACAGTACCACGTCCGCTACCTTGGGCTGTACATCGACAAAAGACTAACTTCGAATACAAGACTAAAACAGCAGGAACTGACTAGACACTACAAAACATTCTCACGACTCCTAAACAAACGATCAAAACTGACGCTTCACAACAAACGACTGACATACGAAACAATAGTTAAACCCGTTTGGACATACGGCATTGAAATGTGGGATTCAATCAAACATTCCAACTATGATCGCATCCAGATTTCCCAATCCAAAATCCTCTGAAAAATAGTAAAAGTTCCCTTCTACGTATCTAACCACACAATATAGCATTCTCTACTAAGATGGTGAAAATGATTAAACATCTCTACGAAAATGAAGCTGCGGTAAGAAACAAAAATACATATATTAGATATAATCTAGTACTTTTAGAACTAGTATGGGAGTGAAATACGGTGCTTTCTTAAGTCCATTATTGTTCCACATTTTATAAATGGTACTGATGTAGTGTTGACAGGAGGAATAAATATAAACGGTACAAAAACAAAATTGTTAGCTTTTGCTGACGATATCGCTATGGTTTCTTCTCACCGGGCGGAATTTCAATTTAATGTTAACGCCATTGAAGAATATTGCAATAAATGGAATTTCAAAATAAACTTAAGATCTAAAATTTTGGTTTGCCGTAATGCGGGGAGGACTTCTCGTTCACAAAACTGTCCTTTAAATAAAAATAAAATAGAAGTTGTAAACTCATATAGATATATTGGCATTTATTTTACTCCGCATTTAGGCTCATGTAAACATTTATATATCAAATTATCAAAAGCAAAAAATTGTCTAAATCAAGTTTGGAATTTTTTAATAGCGCGAAACTAAATTCTTGTTTCCGCTAAAATAGAACTTTTCAACAATGTGCTATTTTTTGTAAGGAGCGCAAGTATTGGAAGGTGTACAATAAACTGGAATAATTGATTACGTTCGTTATTTTTATTTTTAATTTTATTTATTTACGAGGGTTCGCAACAGCTGAGGTCATAGGATGCACAATAGGCCAATACTGGTCGCGGTGCTCAGGTCGTAAACAGGCCGGTTCCTATACAATCAAACAGAGGCCATATCAACCCCGGGGGTGCCGGTTTAAAAAAAAAAGCCTATTTGTAAATATATAGGGTTCGAACGCAAGGCCCTGGATTCGAACCCGGAACCTTTACCTTACAGTGATGAACGCCGTGTCAACGTCTAGACCGCTGCGACCACCGGCGACCCCTTTATTAAAAAGGTATTAAAGCTGCCACGTAATACTGCAAATTATTTTATTACGTTGGAAACAAAACTAGTCCCACACTATATATACTCATTAGATTGGCACCATAATTATGTTATTAAAGCCTTCCAAACGTCAAATACCAGGTTCTCAAAATTATTAGCAATGGAAGCAATAAACATAAACTCTTGCTGGATAAAAGATCTCCATAACATAAAAAAAACGAAAGTGGTGCAATAGTTTTTAACAATTGGGAAAATTAATTTAAAATATTAAGAGAACAAATCTATGCAAATCATAAAATATTATGCTTAAGTAAGGCCCAGAATTAAAAATTTACTATTATTTATAAAATCCTAAATAATAATGTTTTTTTAAATTATTTGAATGATAATTAATACAATAAATAATATTGGACGGATTATTAAGATCAGGGGTGAATTACTTAATTTAAATTACAAAAGATATAACGTGGGCTTCAAACATAACGCATGCAATGCTCAGAAATTAGAAACGATCCATCATTGCAAAGTCTGTCACGTATAAGAAATAAGACAGAGGTATTTAAATAAAGCAAATTTCCCTGAACAAGAGCTAATTGAATATCTAAATGGAAACTAAAGTCAAATTTTGCTGTAAGAGAGCATGGACTTTAAGAATGGAAATGATGATGATGATATTTTGCAGTAATTGTTGACATTTATGCGACCATTAGTTGAAGATATTTAGCAATATTTATATTAAATACTTATTTTTATTTTATTTTGTTAATATTAAATGGAAAGCACTTGTCTATTTATTAGCTTATTGATTTCAGTTTTATTTTGTACTTTTGTAGCGGATGTCTAATAATTTTATTTTCTCTTTAATGTAATTATTTAATTTACTGTTCTTAACTAAACAATAACACCGCAGATGGCAATGCCATGTCTTTTGTGAATGAAATTTGCAGGATGTTATATAATAAACGTTATTTCATTTTTGATAGGTGTATGACAATAAAAGACTAAGTTACATCCGCGAGTCAAATTTATAAATTCTATCTATCTATCTATCTAGTCACGGTGATTATCTAGGAATAGTTTAAAATCAGTCTGAACAGTCTTGTCGCAGTTTTCCGTGATGTACACGTTCTTAGGAATTTAGGAGAACAAATGAAGTCGGCGCCGGGAAAATTATTTACCTAATTAATTTATGCTGTTTGATTAGATATTTCCATTGAAATGATTACCAATTATTTTCTTTAAATTTCATTACCACTTTTTTTTTTGGGGGGGGGGGTGCAAAAGGAAAAGAAGTCCGTAACTGACGATGCGCAATCGACCATGCTTGGTCCAAACTTCACGGAAATCCATTCGCGCTTATTTCTTTCGGAAATTATTTCTTGCTACAAATAGCCCGGATAGACACGGGGAACTGGGGTGAAACTGGTTTCACCAACAAATGGGGCAAACTGTCTGTCCACCGGCTTCAGTAAAATTGCATTCTTGACACAAACTGGGCTCGGTGCGAACGTGAATATTTCGTCACCTTACACCAGAACGAAAAGTCGGCTGAAAGTTTTCTTGTTCCGATCGTCTGAAAGATAAGCGGCCAAATCTGCACTCATCCGTGAAGAGGATGGCTTTTCTCTGACAGATTGCTCAAAGACACCGATTTGCAAAAGATCACCGATCTGCACTATTATCCATTAGTCATTCGCGCTGCCTTTTTTTACTACAATTTTTGGTAAATATAAAACAGTCAAATCTCTAAACACTCACTCATCCTCTTATTCGTATGTTATCAACTATGACTATGACGTTCGGAAAGATTGATAATTAAATCAATTTGCAACCCGGTATTTAGTTGGAAGGTTGAATTAGCGTTGTTTCATTGATATTAATTTCAATTCAGTCACTCATTCATATTCAACTTACAAATAACATCAACTACACGAACTGGACGTTAAAAAAGAATGATGAATGGATCTTTTTGTTGACCAGTTGTACTAACGTTGTTTCATATATTCAACGTTAAATCGTAACACGCACAAAATTTACACAACACACATAAAACTAACTATTCCAGATTTGAAAAGTAATGGGACCAGAGCTATCATTGCGATTCTTCAGGAAGCTCAGCTTTAATCAGGGGAACCCATTTATTATGTTCATGTAATAAATTATAACAATAGAGATAAGGATAAATGAGGAGACCATAAGGCCTTCCGCACCCCGACTTGAGAAGATCTATTTTTTGTAGCTCACTGGCCAGCTTCAGGTTGTTAGTCAACCCCCATGGTCTCACCAGAGGCTCCTTTTGCGGCCTTTCCTCACCTACTTGCAAGAATTTACAGCTACCCTCCCAAAAACATAGAATGTGTTCTGCGGTCTGCTCTTCTTCCTGGACAGTGTTTCATCTGTCAATACTCATATTCGGACCAGGTGCCTCCTTAGACGGCAGTGGTCCAACCAAAATCCCGGTTCTGTTCCGTTCATTGATTCATTGTTCATGGATTCTTTTGTAATTCTTGCGGATGGCCCTTCTATGAATCACATTAAGGATCCATTTTTCGATGTGGCATTTTTTTGTGACAAGTTGTTAGGCCACAATAGGGTACAGGGCCTAGAGGATTAATACTGACTCCTTTTTTAGCCGAAATGTCCAGTTTCTCATTGTCCCATGCCGAATGCCCAGGGTCCCATGGAAACAATTCCATATGCTTTTTGCCTTTAAAAGGCCTTAAGCGCCACTGTCAGAGAAGATAGCTATCTCCTGGAACGTGTTTCTAGCCTTTAGATTTCTCTGGAGCATTGTTCAATTTCTATGATTTCAGACTGAAAACCTGTAGCATATTTAATTAAGTTTAAAGTTAGTTCACTCTTCAGACTCACCTCGGGGACTCTAACTCCAGTGCCTCTCCCCGCTTTTGAGCCGTCAGTATACCAGTAGGCATTGGCCTTCTCCAAAATTTATCGTAAATTTTAAATTAAATATTTTCGGCGGAATAACCGGCAGACCGAAATACGCTAGAAATGATCGGAAACAACCAATCTACAGATTCACCCCAAAGATCTCAATAATAATCTTACAAGCTACTGGGCAACAAATCCATGACCAATATAATTTTTGGATGTATCCTTTTTTATGGCAAGAAGTTAGGGCACTTTTGAATTATAACCATAATACAACAGTTAATTATATGGTTGTACAATATTTATTATTCATACAATATTTATTTTAAAAATACAGATAGTTTTTAATATAGTGATACAGATAGTGTTTAAAATAAACATGTAGATTTTTAAAAAAATAAACAAACCAATGAGGCGTACATAGGAAGTAGCAAATCCAAGTTTTTTTGTGTATTTTTTTACCTTTGTAAAATAGAATCGCTATTTAACCTTTTATGTCACTTTAAACTTTAAACTGCATTAGGGGCAAATTTGCGGAAGCCTCTTATAATCCTTGACCTTTTCGAAGATCAAATATTAGGCGATTTAGAAAAAATGTACGCACGCCCCGCTGTACGTTATTTAATCGGGTGTTAAGGTTACCGTTGCACAACCCGAAGGGTGATCCTTGCAACACAAGTGACTTGAAAAAATACGGAAGAGCGGGAGTAAAATCTTCGTGCCTCCTCACTCGATAACAAGAAGTACTTTCCAATTGCCGGCATTATAATGGCTGGAGGAAAGAAGTAAGAATAAATGAAATTAAGAATCAATTAATTTAAAAAAAAACAATTTTTTGTATCAATTTTTCTTTTATTGCAACATAATTTCAAACTCAAAAAGAGAGCTTTATTGGTAGTTAAACTTATTATTTTGTTTATTGCTCCAGTGTACATTATTTAGTTGAAGAAAAGTGAAGATAATCCTGACTGAACAATTTTTTTTGTTTTACAAATTATAAATATCCTAACAAATGAAATACTTCAAAATAATAACCAAATAGACCAACGCATAAACCTCAACTTTGCACTTGATCGTTTAAATTGTAAAGACTAAGGTCAAGAATAAAATATTAATCAAAACAAATCAGGTATTATAGTTATGAAATGATTTGATTTTTGTCGTTTCCTATCTCTGTCAGTCGTGTCCTTTGATAAGACAGGAATGAAGGTGGCAACAATCCAATGGATCCATGACCAATGTAATGGATCCATTTTTGGATGTATCCTTTTTTATGGCGAGATGCTAGGCCTCATTAGAATTATAACCATAATACAACAGCTAATTATATGGTCATACAATGCCGATGTATTTTAAAAAAATAAAAAATACGAGAAAGAGGTTAAACTTAAATACATTTTTAATCAGACTTTAAAAGTCGTAATTAATTCATTTACCAAAGCGATGTACCTATCGTGTTTGATTCAATTTGAAAACTAACAATTTAATGAAAAGATTTCTCTTATCACTATGCACTCGCTGGCCCTGTTCACACTCCAATGCCAATGACCCAAAACAAGATTTTAGAGAAATTAACTGACTCTAGAAAGTCCATGTAACCCGACAAAGACTGTGAACACATCGCATCCAAAGGATAGATAATAATTATTGTTGTACACATCATAAAGTTCGTCCACAGAAGCTTTGCAATGTAATCTTCAATAATTTATTATTATTATTAGTTTTTTTGGTGATAGAGTGTAGAGTTTAAATTTCTACTTGCCAGCTGCCAGACGGCACGAGTGAGAGCAAGCGGCTGAGGTCATCCCTACTGACCACAAATGTAATTCCCACTTTCAACTTTCGACCCTTTTTAAATAACAAATGTGACAAACAAATACGTAGAACCGGGGTTTTAAAATTGTTAATAGCCAATTTATTTATACATTTTTTTAATGGTCAAAGTGTTTTCAAATGTATAATGTAATAGTGCAAAATCGATATTTTAAGAGGATCACAGAAGGTTTTTCTTACTTAGATGCAAATAAAAAATTAATCGCTATGATTGTTTGCAATATATGTACCGAGTTTATTTGAAGGTTGAAAACAGCCTTAAAAAAAGTTTTTCGCTTCAGTATATTAAGTCGAATATTATACTATTTATTCAATTCAAAATTTATTACATTTCAATTGCTGATAAGTAATTTATTTGAACAATTAAAATAATGTAATTTGCCGTTCGAACGGTTGTAAAAACCTATTCAATTTAACTGCTGCAATCTTCCTCGATTCCCAAAAACTAACAGAACGTCGACAGTTGCTAAATATTTTATCTGTCCACAAATCATTCGATAGAGAAAGTGGAAATATCATAGCAAATTTACCAACGGGTGCTATTTCCTTAGTTTATGAGTTAATATTAACTTTTAACTGTATGGAAGGATTGTGCAAACCAGCTGGGAGTGGTGTGCCAGCGTCGAGGAAATGCACCACTCCTTTCTGAGCCAACGGACTTCTTTAGCGCCCTGTTATATTATCAATTGTACAATTTTTACATTTTAGAAGCCAGGATTTGAAAAGGACCCCCGGCCGGCGTGGCGAAGAAACGAAGTCTCCGGAGACTTCAACGGGTGGATTGAAGCAAACACACAACTTTGTTGGTTCCTTCGGTAATACATATGTTTTAGTTCGTCATTTTAATCAAAGTAATTATTTTTAATTGATTTATTAGTTTTATTGTTATATGCAAAGTGTAGCTGAGATGAAAAATTAGTGTCATGAGTGGGGCTCGAACCCACAATTAAGCCACGATAGCTCAAGTGGTACTTATCCGGGGGTCGTGAGTTCGAGTCCCACTCGCGGCAATAATTTTCATCCGCCGATCTTAAAATAAATTCGACAATTCGCCTCACGTACAACGCACTTTTCAATGGATTAAAAAAAATAATAAACGAAATTTCGATTTGTGTTACAAAAAACGAACCATTTACAATTTAAATTCAATTTAACCTTCTCCATATGAGTGCAACGGAATGTGTCCAATCTTGAAAATGTCACATTTCTGTCTCACCCAGTGAGTAATACTAAACTAAAGTTATGATTTGAAATAGGTATAAAACGCGAGAATTACCTTGTTTTGTGGGAATCCCAGGTGATTTTGGAGGTGTTAGCACTGGTGTTATAGTGAGACTGAGCACGAGATTCTCTGGAGTGGTCCTGGACTCGCGAGTCTTGAGGGGATGGATGGAGTAGGGCTTACACTTGAAACAGGATCCCTCTCCACTCCAGGCGAGAAAGCGAAAACTCAAAGTTAATCTCAAGGACGTCGCCCATGACCCTACACAAAACCTTTCACATCACTCTTCCTCTCGTAAATTGATTTGCATTTTATTCAATTATTTTACCTACAATAAGAGTGTTTAGCGGTATCCGAAAGGGGATAATCGAAGTGGAAGGATGATTGGACTTGGATTACAAGACATCTTTTTTATCCATTTCCGCCTTCTTTGAAAACATATGGCATTTAAGGGACTTCTTATTTCTTAATATTACTTAAATTACTTAAATTGGGAGAGATAAAATCGAATTGTTATCGAAATTCTTTCTTTGAAGAACATATCGTTTGGAAAAAGAAGAAATAATAGTGTAAAAGGGGCCATATAGCATAGGAAAAAACACTAATGTGTGTATTGACCACTCATTCACTGATAACGACATTCTGTTCTATCGTTAATGTTTTAAACTATTTTAAACCGGTTATTTCATTTTGAAACGTTTCTCCAGTTTAAAATCCCTAAATCCAACTTGTCATCCCTGTTCTATTAAACTTGAACTGGAATTCAGAAAATTTATCTACCCATATCAATTTGTTTAGTTTAGCTAACCGATACCATTTTTTGGCAAGGAAGCTTCACACCCTCTCTTCAATGTACAAAAAATTCTAGTCCATATTTACTACGATGTTTATATAATCAAGTATCAAGTATATAATCAATTCTAAGTTGTTCATGCGCGTATTAGTTATGCAATGTTAGTAAGGGGTCACTCAGCTTCATCTAAATTGATTTTCTCCAGCCAAAGAAAGGCAGTAAGAATCATTTGTGGGTTAGGCTACGATCCCGATTGCAGAAATGCGTTTAAAAGATTAAAATCACTCACATTACCTTTTTCATATATTTTTGATTGTATTAACAAAGTGCCTAAAGTATGTATGAGCATAACTACAATTCTAGATAAGGATACTTAATAAACCTCTCTAGGAAGAGATCGAATAATCAGTCCTAATTACTGGGGGTTTAAATTTCACAATTCTTTGCCCATGGGTTCATCTTTGTTTTCTTAATACCAATTTTACATTTAAAAATGCCACTTAGTGCTGAGGATGTTGCGCGTGGTGTGGCTCTTATTCCATCAGGTAAGCGGCTGTTACCATCGGAGTTCCCTACGAAACACTGCGAGACGCGGTTAGACGTTGTCGAGAAACTGGGTCCTACCATAGAAGGCCCGGTTCTGGACGCCCAGGGTAACAGAACCACAGGATGACCGTTTTTTGAATTTGAGAATTTTGCGAAACCGGCACCTTTCTCTTGTTAAAGCGATTCATCAGCTCCAGAAAGTTCGAGGTTCCAAATTCCTGAACGCACTGCCCAAGAAGATTAAATCCATATGGATTGTTGGCGTATCACCCCGTAAAAGGACAAGAATGGAACAGAACAGACAGAATTACACGGCTCCCATTTGCTCGAGAACACAGCCATTGAAAGAGGGTGGAGAAGGCAAATAAAAGTTACGAAGCCTGTAATTTTTCCCTGAGCCAACCTTTTCAATGTAGCACAGTGATGGTGTGGGATTTCAATGGGGAGTCGCACAGCGTTGGCTGTTGTTCGTGGAGGGTCTTTGACGGCCACTCGCTATCAGGATGAAATATTGAAACATCACGCGTTGCCTATCCTCCATGAAATCAGCGACAATCCTATTCCTATTCGCATAGTACGAACGTACCTCCAACAGCTTAACATCAGGGTCACTTTCTGATACACTCCACGATCTTGAAAGGACTCTTCGTGAAGAATAGGCTAACCTCCAGCAAAGACATTTCCAGACTGGTAGAGGCGCCTTCGAGATGTAATTAAAGAAAGAGGAGGAAATACGCGATATTGAAATGTTAATTAAAAATTTAAAACAAAATTAGTACAAATTTTATTTGTCCGTCTTTTTTTAAGTTTTTTATTTTTCATTTTCCTTAGCAATTTACTTTTTTTTTTACTTTTTTAGACAAACACTCAATTATTAAACGTTAAAAAACGTGAAACTTTGATTAATATATAAAAATATGTACAAATCAAGTTATATTGCAAGTGGGTGGAATTTTTTGTCTGTCAGTGAATATCATTGGGTCCGTCGCTTGTCGCTGGGGCGTTAGTAACCAGTATGCATAAGAAAAAAAACCTACGGACTAACAAACTTGTTCAACAAATTCGGTCTGAAGACATCACTAAGGACCAACAGTATCACAGGTAAACTGCCAAAAAGCAACACAGATGCAACTGACCGGCTAGATAATAACGGTGTTTATAGCGTCACATGCGGAGATACATATATATTGGACAGACTGGAAGGAAATTAAGCGATCGATTCAAAGACAATGACGGATAATCAAATTTTACGAGACCACTTAATACTTCACAACCACTTACCAAAGAACCAAGAATCGCCATTCCAGCAAAAATCGGCTTATTGAGAGTAATATATTCATGATTTAAAAGTACTACACACAATTCTTCCGAGAAAATTGTTTTATCTTTAAAGGAAAGCTTCGATATCAATTTTTGTAATCTTCCTTCGTTGTTCACTAACTTCATTTGCATTTTTTCCTGACATTTTCCAAGGGTTTTCCAAAATTAATATAAATCATTAATTAAGGTTTTTAGTTGAGATAAAAAAGCTAATGGCACGAGCGGGATTCGACCCCNACGACATTTGAAAAATGGCAAAAAGGAGGGAAAATTCAAAAGGTGCGGTTGAGATGGGAAGTTGGTGTCCGAGTGGATCGAGGTCATGATAGCTCAAGTGGTAGAGCAGCGGCGTATCAAGCCGAAGATCGTGGGTTCGAATCCCGCTCGTGCCATTGACTCAACTAAGAAACCTTAATTAATTGTAATATATTAATTGGTCAAGCGGACCACGAAATTAGTGAATTTATTTTTATCTTTTAGCGTCGTTAACAGTTTTTTAAATCTCCCGTTTGAAGGGATTTCTCTTTCGGAGAGCAAAGGGAGTCTCTACGGTGATTATGTATTTTCTGTGGATTATTTGTACCTACTTCAAAAAAGTAACCGTATTCTCCGTCATTATCAATTTCACTTACATTTACACTTTTATCGACCCATTGAAGTTCGCCTGTAGGGAGTGGTTGCGCTTGAGCTCTGCATCCCAGGCTAATACTGGGTCCTTAAATAATATGCAGGATCCAATTTATAAATTTCCATACAAGCATCAAGATAATTTTCGAAAACGTCGGCTAAGATTAAAACGTCAGTTTTGAGGTAAAGATCGAAATATTCGCCCGATATATATTAAATGATAATAAATTTTGTCCAAACATTGCCCGTATAATCCTGATAGGAACCGGCACCCAAGTCAGCGAATTAAAAAAATTATGTTTTGCATGAAGATAGGAAAAAATTAATTTAGCAACATAATCTAAAAATTCGTAACAGAAAATTCCCTTTCTCCTAACTGATTTCAGTTCATCTTCGTTAAAAAACTTTTTAGTGTTGTAAAATTGATCTCGAGGAAAATTATCGGTTAAAGATTGTAAACTTTCCTGCATTAATCGATTGTGTCAATGAAATGAATTCAGATTCCATTTTTGTATTTTGAAAAAGTAATATAAATCTCTTCCTAGTTTGTAATTATATCAATTTTATTACCGTCCGTAGCTAATGCCAAAATGATGAAATGACCTTCGTATTTACAGATTGTGTAAAAATACGGGCTCAAATCCATGACTCCTTAATTTAAGATTACATGAGTTATGGGCTGCTCCTCTATATTTCCCATTGAGATGGTTATGATCGAGTACTTTCTTTTCAATATCAGTAAAGGCAGGCATGTTACACAAATAACATGTTGCACTACTATTAAACTCCTGCCTTTCAAAGGGTAATAGTTGTTTTAATGGTTCATTATGATTGTAAACATTTGCTAGCGCACCTGCAATTTTCGATACCATTTATACCAAATTTACCACATGCGGTTGGACCTCCACGTATCACAGGATTTGTCGGAATTTCATGTTTCGATATTAGGGATAATCTTCTAAAATTTTGATGTACATGCCAAAACTTGTAGGCTCGTGTTTCTGTACGCTTCGGGTGTAAGATTTTTCTGTCTGGCTCACATGAATGAATTTTCTTACGAACGCTTTCGAAATCGGCATATATTACAACAGGGACTCTCTGAGTGTAGTAAACATTTTCAAATTTAACCCGAGGTATTTGATTACCATTTATTTCTGGGAGGCCAACACGAACAGGTTTGATTTCTGTGCAATATGTAGATGAATATTTAATTTTGTACCACTATTCGAATGTCTTTTGCCAAAGTGGGTAAAACACCTCTTACAAATTAAAAACGAGTGCTCATGTTTGTTGATCTGCCGTCCGACAAGCCTCGGAAAATTTTTGATATAACAATAATGAAAAATTATTCAGATATCGTGAGATGCGGTCTGGTGTGAGGTAGGTTTCAGAAAGACATTTTCTTTATCGTGCCAACGTTTCGATCTTTATTGAGATCATCTTCAGGGCTCAAACTGTTTGTCTTCTGTGTAATTGTGCCATTCTTGCGTGTCGTGTTGAGAGTGCAAGAATGGCACAATTACACAGAAGACAAACACTTTGAGCCCTGAAGATGATCTCAATAAAGATCGAAACGTTGGCACGATAAAGAAAATGTCTTTCTGAAACCTACATCACACCAGACCGCATCTCACGATATATGAATATTTATCGATTAACGGTCACTAATCTCTACACACAATAATGAAAAATTGAATCTTTTTCCAATAACAAGTCCCGATGTTCTGGTATTTCACGACTTACAATTTTAAGTGGATAAACGTTATTATTTTCATCCAGTACGAAAACATTGATGGATAAATTGCTGACGGACTCGAAAATTTTAACATTTAGTGGTGTAGGAATGTTTACATAGGAAAAATTATATGCAATTTG